AAATTATGTGAAGGGAAGCAGGGAGCCACCCCAGGTGGCTCCGAGGTGGCGCGGGAGCCACCTAATTTCAAAAAACACTTACCAATTTTTAAATTCACATAAGTTTCTCATTCTCCATACTTTTTTGTGCTCATGGTCCTCCAACTACACAGCAAATTTGGTGCCATATCGTTACTTGTGCATTGAAAACGAGCCTATTTTGTTATTTTCCTTTTGCAAGAATTGCGATTTGAATTCCCGCCTGCGGGCAGGCTAGCACCTTGCGTTTAACATTTGCACCTACTCAAGATAAATCTTCACTTCCTTATCATTTCAGAGTACCTTTCCATCACTAGAAACACTTCTCACATTCTCCTTTCGCACGTTTCGCAAATATTCGTGCGCACTTTCCGCGTGTCAGAATTAATGAACAATGATTTTCTCGTGTTTGATGTCAGGTCGTTCCGAAAGTAAAGTCGCTTTCTTCGAATGAACGCCACATTTAATGGAATCAAGATTTTCAAGAGGTCTTAGAAGCATTCGATGCATCATTTCATCCTCTTTCTAATGGTTGCTATTTTGCATAATATTCAATGAGCTCTTGAAAAATTACCAAAATTTGTGACTCATGCTTCTTGCTGGTCAAGTTTGGCTATTTTTCTCAAATTTTGTACCTATTCTCCGCAGAGGTGCAAGTGAGAGGTAGATGGAGCAAATTCTGTAGGACGCAAAGTAATTTTTTTTCCTTGGCTTCTTCTTAGAGTTTCTGGAACCAATTTTTCAATATCATCAAATTCCATATTTGGTCAAATCAATTCGACGCAGCTTTCCTCCTCCTACCAATTGTTTTTTGTTTCCGATTCATCAAGTTTTCCGGGATAAAATCATCATAATTCAGGTTTTCCAGGGCGCCCCAAGCTGTACCCAGAATTTTCAAAAGTTGCTAATCTGAAGCGGTGAATGTTCATTTGCTTTGCAAAATTGTTGTCAAACCATAATATCTTTGTAAGTTTCAAAATCCAAAAAATTATTTGTGTTTGATGCATTTTTGTCTGAGACGAGCCTGCTAAAATACGGTTCCATCAAAAAATCTATACAAAAATTATGACGAGCTTTGGAAAGTAGAAAAAAGTTGTGCTGTTTTCTGCAGGGTTTGCTCTATCCATCCACTACTTGGACTCCTTGTGAGGCTTGTCATAAAAATCTAGAAAAATTGTGAAACTGGCCTTCTCAAAAAGCATGGGTCGCAGATTTTGATAATTTTTTTGAGAGTTTATTGAATTCTGTGCAGGGTTTTATAACAATAAGAAAGAGAATGAAATGCTGCATCAAAGCTGCCAGATCCTCTTACACATCTTTGTTCCACGAGATGTGGTGTACTTTTGAAAAAAGGACATTACTTTCGGAACGACCTAATAGTTTGTTTGAAAGAGAATTTGTGTAAGAGCCTTGAAATGTTGAATTTGTGATAGTAACGAAAGCTTCAAACTTGCTCCAAATTAAACAAGCTAGTGCCAGAGTAAACCCGTATTTGTTTCTACCGAAACGCTAAATAGATAAACGCTAAACGCTCAATCAAGGGCTCTACACTTTCTTTTAGAATGTGTATAAGAGTGTGATTTGTTGTCTCTTCAATTAGGCTCTAACCTTGCATTGACCGTTATTGTCGTCCAAAGGCCTCGGCCTGCCTCACGCGATTTCAGTCGCGACGCGGTCTCCCAATCTCAGACATTCGTGTTTAAGTCCCGCAAGAGTCAGCTCACAAAATGAAAATCGCGAAAAAAAGATAGTCTTGCGCGAGAACTTGATTTTGTTTCAAAATTAAGGCATATACCACGCGATTTGATCATCCCGGTTCTAAGATCGGGACAAAATCGGATTTCAAGCAAGACTAAATTTTTTCCGCAACTTTCATTTTGTAAGCGGACTCTTGCAAAACTTAACACTAAATGTCTAAGAAATACTCCGTTTACAAAATAATCAAAAAGGATCCGCCTAAGTCGCATCCATCCCATGTAAAGTTTAGGTCAAAATCGAAAAAGTTTGTCACCATTGAGAATTAGATTTTTGGGAAAAATCCGATAGACCGCCAGTTGGTCGTTACACAGTAGGCGCAGTTGTATTCAAATATGCCTTCATTGGGTCGCTCACAAGAAGCGAGAATAAGAAATTTCAAAAATGGCAAACTGCCCCCAGCCCCTCACACAAGTGTCGTTGTATACTACGAGCCTTAATAAGTGTGGTCTTAAAACTTCACCCATGTATGTGCTTTTATAATCGAGAAAGACCTTCCACATGAAGAAAAGAAAAGTGGCATTAATGGCTTTGGACCATCTTTTTTCTCAATTTTGAGTCAAGTTTGAGAATGAAAATTTTTACCAAATATATTTTTGGGTATTTCTATCTGTCTAATATATAAGGACCAAATTGGAAGTCCGTACGAATTTTCTGAAAAGAGATCCGTTTTTTAAGGGTCAGCTAGAAAACTTTGATTTTTCGCTTCAAATTATACCTGGATTACAGCTTAGGTGGATCTATGGTGGTCTTTATGTAGAGCTTGCTCCGCTCTATCAATGGTACTCTAAGTCTATTGAGAAACAAAAACAGCTCAATTTGTTTGAAGATGGAGTTTACTTTTGGGACAACCTAATAGATGTACAGGAGATAGGGTATTTTGATGTAACGATGTTGTACAGATTATGCGTTTGTAGACCTGAATTTGAAGACACCTGGCACACTGCCAGATCGCGTGGCGACAGAAATTGCGTGAAGTATGGCCAAGGTTCAAGCGGATTTACTGCTTTATAATTCGTGACTTCTTCCTACGTAAGCGGATTCGCCTGTTAACGGAACTGTTGGAAAAGGATTGCTTTGCCAAAGCGTCGTAGAAGTTGGGGAAAGCCGCACGGTCACCAATCTTTCTAGCAAATATGGCAATTATGTGCATTTATCCTCAATCACACTTTTTTCTAATAATTTTTCAACAAAAAGCTTGGAAATCGGTTGCTTCTCACAAATAGCGTGCTATTTGCCACTTGCTGCAAGACTATACAGTTGTTGATCCACGATTGCGAGAAAATTGCGGTGGTAGCTACAAGCTATAGCCAAAACCAAAACTATGGTGCTCCTCACTTTTCCAAAAAGTTCCAAAGGCATTTACTACAGCGATTTTTCTTTAATTGTTCTAATCACAACAATGCCATGGATTAGCATGAGAAAACTCGAGAAGATTGACGTTTTTCAAGCAGAGTCAAAAAAAAATCGGGAAGCATTTCTACTTGGTGCGGAAAATTATACTACTCATACTCATGCTCTTTATCAAAGTGGCTTTTCCGTGATTTAAAACGAAGTTCGAGAGCTAGAAGCAAATAAAGGAAATTACTATAATTTTGCAATTTTGAGCATGCCCAAAAAGCCCGAAAACGTCACAGAAAAAACATTAAAGTCATGAACATATGTTGTTTTGTGACTTTCTCTTTCTAGCTGAAGAAAACCCTGCCAATCGAGGGCAATTTTGATTTTCGTAATGCTTCCGGATTTTTGGGGCATTTCATCAAATTCAAAATTGCTCTCGATTGGCACTATTTTTGCACAGCTAGAAAGAGAAAGTCACAAAACCAATGTTCATAACTTTCCCGTCTTTTTTGTGACGTTTTTAGGCTTTTTTTGAGCATGCTCAAAAATTGCAAAACTGAAGTAATTTTCTTTATTCGCTCTCTGTCTTTTCCGTTTTGTTTCATGAAAAGAGCACTACACTAAAGAGCATAATTTTTCTATCGAACACTAATACTTTCAGAATTTTTTGTGATCCTGCTTGAAAAATGAAGATCTTGACTAATATCCTTGCTTCTGCTTTTAACTCTCGAACTTCCTCATAACAATCTTTGAAGGTACATCTGAGAAGGGAAAGGATTATTCTTTCAAATAAATATAAAATTGACGAAATCTCTTGAGTGGAAAGGAAATTATGATTTTTTGAAAATCTGGCGAACGAACTTTGTGATTTACTTAATATAACTGATTGGTCGTTAATAACTTCATCGCTTTCATGTCTTTCACCGAGTTTAAGGTACAATTTTGGAAAGCGAGGATCAACTTAGATTTACAGCATGGGAGGAATTTCCGATCTTTCTTAGTCATCGTAAGACTGCGGTATGATGGATTGAGCCTTTCAATAAAAATAATTTCAAAAACTCCAAAAATTTGTGTAGCAATGTTTTCAGGCGTGCTGATTTCACCGCAAAACTTTTCAATAGTTTTCGAGCTTTTTAAATGTTGTAATCATACCACCAACAAACACTGGAAAAACAATCGCTACCCTAAACCTGGAATAACGTTAGAAAAGGCATTGCAGTAAGTGCAACTTTCATATTCAAAATCAGCGACTTTAATTAGTCCTGTACAATAGTTTCTAGCTTTTGGTTTCCTTTCTAAGGCAAAAATCGCCTTCAATTTCCTAAAATCCTTCTCGAAGTTCCTACCGTTATCCTGCAGTAATGAAGAGTGGTTGATGGTTCGGTCCATACCGTATATCTAAGTTGAACCTCGCTCTACAGAATGGTACCTCAAGCTCGGAGAAAGACATGAAAACAAGGGAGTTAATAACGATCAAACAGTGTTCAATTTTTTTTTGAGACACCCTGTATATTTTCAGAAAGCAGAGGAAGGACGAAAAGATTTCAGTGAATTTTATAGCTGTCGAGGTATTTATTTCCAAAAATTACAGTTTTGGAACTTTGATTGTCAACGTCTTTGAGATATAGTGTTTAACTTTGATCTCCTTGCACTTTGTCAACATCTTACCCTCATAGACGCATTCGAAAGAAGCAAATCAAAGATCGTCTATTCGGCGCATTGCGTAAAAAGAGTTTCTTGAGCGCTGAACATGATCCAACCGATCCGATCTGCCGATGCTATCATATCAGCGGCTAATCCGTCGTCACAAGTCATTTCGAGTGTCAAATTAGCAGGTTTTACATCGAATTTCCACTAGCTATATAATCAGGAATTGAGTGAGAACAATGCTTACACTGCTTTTTGTAAGTCGCCATGGTCTCAAAGACCTTCGCTATTATTTTGCTGTTGTTAGTCTTGGTCACCATCAGCAGCGCATGCCATCCGGGAAAGCACAAGCACAAGAAATGCAAGGGAAAAGGTAAGCTTAAATTACTGTTAACTTTAATAAAAGTCAATTATCAACAAGTAAATATTTAGTTGCTTGATTAAGTGAGTTCGGATTAGCAAGAAAGCTGTTACACGAAAAGTGCATCAGAATTTTCTTCATAGTTCTTAGGATTCTGACCTACACATTTTTTGTTGGAAGAGGCCTTGGTCGAATTCGTAGCGGAGCCATGAAAAGTCAGCGAGTGCGCTGATAAAGTTAATGCAAAACAAGACTTGTTGTCGTTTGCTTTTATTGAATATCATATTTTTTTCAGATTGTGAAGATTACTACTATTATTATGATGACTATGAAGATCACCATAAGCATCATAAACATCACAAACATAAGCATCATCACCATGGTCCTGGCTCGCGAGAGGGTAAGACAGCGTAAGATTTTGAGCAATTTATAAAGCTATATTTTCAGCAAGAGGCTAATGTACGCGCAACACTAAAGGCTCAGAAGGATAGATTATAAGTGCACTAGCTGGCTTACCCGGCTCCGCCGTATCCGGACCAAACTTGGCACACATACACTTCGGGCCCCGGCGCGTGTCACAGTCCACTTTTCGTTATCGATCGATGTCGATCTTACCGATTTTTATCGATTTTTTCGCAGAGTTCACCTACAGGGCTAGGAGTTGGCACAGGGGGGGAAGTGAGCATGGGGATTCCGAATACAATATTAGTTTTCAGAATTATCGGTTACTTTTATTGATTTTATCGATTTTTTGTAAATTTTGACATGCGAGGCTGGGATTTTGCACAGGGGGTAATCGAGCATGCTGATTACGAACACAATATTAGTTTTCAGGATCGTCCATTACTTTTATCGATTTTATCAATTTTTTTGTAAAGTTTGACCTGCGGGGCTGGGAGTTTGCACAGGGGGTAATCGAGCATGCAGATTACGAATACAATATTAGTTTTTGGAATTATCCATTACTTCTATCAATTTTATCGATTTTGCAAAATTTGAGCTAGGGGGCTGGAATTTGGCACAGGGGTGTAATCGAGCATGCTGATCACCCCCTTGGGGATGATCAGCATGCTCGATTACCCCCCCCCTGTGCCAACTCCCAGCCCCCTAGCTCAAACTTTGCAAAAAATCGATAAAATCGATAAAAGTAATCGATAATCCCGAAAACCAATATTGTATTCGGAATCCCCATGCTCGATTACCCCCCTGCGCGAACTCCCAGCCCCGTAGCTCAAACTTTGCAAAAAAATCGATAAAATCGATAAAAGTAATCGATAATCCTGAAAACCAATATCGTATTCGGAATCCCCATGCTCGATTACCCCCCTGTGCCAACTCCCAGCCCCGTAGCTCAAACTTTGCAAAAAATCGATAAAATCGATAAAAGTAATCGATAATCCTGAAAACCAATATTGTATTCGGAATCCCCATGCTCGATTACCCCCCTGTGCCAACTCCCAGCCCCGTAGGTGAACTCAGCAAAAAAATCGATAAAAATCGATAAAATCGATATCGATCGATGACGAAAAGTAGCCTATGACACCCGCCGGGGCCCGTAGTGTATGTGTGCCAAGTTTGGTCCGGATCGGTTCAGAAATGGAATTTTCTATTCGGAACATACGTACATACATACATACATACATACAGACAGACATACAGACAGACATACAGACAGACATACAAACAGACATTCAGCTTTATATATAAGATTATTTATTTGACAGGGGACATAAATAAATCTTTATGCAAATCTACTGTTGCTTTTACAATTCAGATTTTTGCAGATTCAGATTAGTGCAATTAAATTACTCGATAAAATCTTTGTTCAAGATCAGCTCGTCGATCATTTTTGCGTGCCAATGAGCATAGGAGACAGCATGAAGAATTGGATGAAATGGAGTAAGAAAGTCCTGCTCTTCAGGACCTTCGTCATCGATAGGTTTCTGTGTGATTTCAGTTACTCCTTCTGAAAAAACTCGTTTACTACTATTGTAATTGTCCACTCAAAATTTTGGGCGGAGTCTTTATGACCACATACGAGATGGGCTACACCCACAGTATTGTAGCTTACAAGGGAATGGTCAAAATTCGAAGTGGCCAATCCCAGCAAGCTGTACACCGTTGAACACTCCACGGAGGGCTGGGTACATATCTGGGGCTGGGTATATATATGTTCATTATCTGCTTCTCGGCCTTCTACACGAAGTTATGCCCTCGATTCCGCCGGGGGCTGCCGCCCATCATAAGCTTGCCCATGTATCATCTATGGTTGATTCATAGCGCACCGGTAAGTGTGCAGACTCATAGGACGAGCTGACCTTTTGCAAGTTCGATTTCTTTTGCTTGCTACTCTTTTGCAACCCATTTCCAATATCTATATTGCTAGCGCGAAGTCTCTAAAGGGCCGAACATACTTCACGCGATTTTAGTCGCGGCGCGATTTGGCAATATTCCAAGTGTCCATAATTCATTGTAGGCACATTTCAAATGTATAGAAGATAGGGCATTTCATCAATTTGCGTAAGTTATACACACGATGCATGTGCAGTTTGCTAGTATTGGAACTGAAGACTTTTGGCGAATTGCCAAATCGCGTCGCGACTGAAATCGCGTGAAGTATGCCCGGCCCTTAACGTGGTTAAAAAGGTAATTCAACAACTAAAGACTTCGAAAGCTTTATTTTTTATCGTACAAACTCTCTTGAGAATTGAGAATGATCATGGTGAAAGCAAGAATGTTGATGAATAGGTATGCAAGATCGAATAGAAGCAAGCAGCAAGAAAGGTGGAGCTGGAACTGATAAACAGAAACCTAACTTTTGCTTTGACGTGATAGATTCTTTCGGTCAAAAGGCTTGAATGCACTTTTTTTTCCGAATTGGCTCGAGCTTTCAATTTACAGAGAAAAGAATTCAGTTTTCGGAGTCTTTAGATGTTGAATTATCTTTCTAACAGCAGTAGGAATTTTACGCTAGCAATATGGATATTGGGAATGGGTTGCAAAAGATTAGCATGCAAAAGGAATCGAACTTGCACAAAAAAGGACAGCCTGCCCTATAAGTCTGCTCACTTGCCACTGCGATATGAATCTGCCATGACTGCAACATGGGCAGAGCGGTACTTATGATGGGCGGCGGCCCCGCGGAGGAATCGGCCATAACTTTGCGTAGTAGACCGAGAAGCAGATAATGAACGCGGATATGTACTCAGCCCTCCATGGAGTGTTTAACGTATACAGCTTGTTGGGATTGGCCACTTCGAATTTTGACCATTCCCTTGTTTAAAAGTGGCACGCTTACCGATAGGGTCGATAAGCCTGATTGGTTTGTAGCGTGTATAAGTGATTGGATGTGTCTAAAAAACGAACTAATCCTTGGTTATCATCTCCCACTCCTCCAACACCCATTTCTACTGCAAAATTTCAATGAAATCCAGACCTCTGTTGGAACTAATTTCAACTTAATCTTGGGATCAAATAGGCACGCTGTATCATCAAGAGGTCTGCTCTTATGCTTGACTCTAAAAAATATCTTTGAGGAAAAAAATATGCGTAGTCTTTCCACCTGCAATAACAATGCGATGTCCTCATAATACTTGTATCGCTTGACGTACGAGATGGTACGAGGTCGACAGGAGACAGGGCTCTGCAATTTTTGCTATGACGCAACACTAGAGTAATGATAGACATACTTTTCTTCTTCTTCTTTGGAAGGAACGGATGGCTGCAATACTTCAGTCATTCAAGAATCAAAGATCCTGCTAACATACCTTGACGCCCACTTCTTTTCGTTTAGCCGCCAGCGCTTCCCCTCGCCCTAGAGGCAAAACCTCTACAAACTTTCTAATTTTTCTATCCTTTAGTTGCTTTGCTGTTGTAATTGCTTCACCTTCAGACTGTGGCTTGTCCGTTTTCAAACTTGTAGTTTGAACTTTGATCTCCTCCTAGGAAAAGTTTTGCAGTAAATTATTTAGGCTTATGAAAGAGAGAAAAAGCTCTTTAATTTGAAACTTACTTTTGAACCAGCTTCCATTCCCTCTTCGCTTTTCGCTACCTAAAATTTCAATTAGGGTGCCAGATTTATCAAGTGGAAAGTAGAAACTGAGCGGGGGTCGAGGCAGCTACAGTCAAGCAGATTTTCCGCTCAATATAGTGTGCTTGCACAGAAAGTGAAATGCGGTGAACTTTTCGCGTGGACAAATAGCTTCGACTGTGATGCCGGTCAACTGCGCGCGCAAAACGCCGGCAGTACTAGCGCGGCCATTCATTCACTTGGCAAACACCGCATTTCACCTTCTGTGCAAGCACACTATATCAAGAGGACAGTCTACTCGACTGTATGTTCAAAAGCAAATCACAGTTTTTTTATGCAAGTCGTCTATTACTGGCTCCTTATCTTTGCCAGTTCTCAATGTAGTATAAAGAAAAGGTAATGTGGCAAAGTACAAAAAATGTTGTAGAAAACAATAGAAAGGAGGAATGATCTTGAGTGTGGCGTAATTGTATTATTTTTAAGTGCCTACACGGAGTTGGTAGCTGTGTACATGGATTGATCGATGTGTCAAGATAACTAGAGACCTTAAACAATGAAACCCTTACAATTTCAATGAGAGAGTATGGTGACTGCTAGCCTCAAATACAATTATAACAAACACTTGGTCTATGCTTCGATTTTATTTTGTATTTCTTAAATGTTCAGAATAGGAACTAGCACGAATATAAAGTAAATATCCCAAAGCAACTCATCTTGTGCTCAGTTGGTGACCGAGCCGTTGGATCCATGTGATCTTCTCCTTGCTGAATCATATGAAGTTGGCATGCGCTTACTTTCTACACCAATTATAGTGACAATCACAGATATAGAAGCTTTTCAGTAGTTAGGATCAAAAGATTGGGATTTTTGGAAAATCTATTTCAATGGAGGAAGCGGTCAGCAGATTCTGGCGTTATAGTATGATAAGCAACTTTAGCAGGAATGTCACTATGGAAGAAGAATAACATGCGATTTGAAAAAAAGTTGCTCATTATGGCAATTTGATGTGGAGTGATGAGTAGCCCAGCTACATGAAGTGGTTAAGCCTAACCTTTCATAAGGACTGAGCAAAAAATTAGCCAGGCATTCAAAAAAAATTCTAAAATGGATGGAACATTATTGCAAATGTAACAGAATTTGCTCACCAGTAACTCTGAGCTTTTAAAGGGAAGGGCTTCAGGTAGATGCGCATGCTCGCTGACGTATTTCTGAAAAATCATCTTTTTCAAGAGCTTATCTTTTTGGATGCAAAGTGAAGATTAGAAATAAAGGTTGTAATAGGTTGAAAAGAAAAGAATGTCGCTTTCACTTCCTTTATGACATCGCAACAGGGCAAGAAAAGAAAAGGGATCGAAGTGATACCGGGCTGTTCCAGGTTATTCTTTAATATTAGGGTGAACGGTAAAAAATGGGACACCTACGAAATAACTGGAGGTTTCTCAAGAATGAGAAGCGATTGGACATTCCAGTTTTGATAGATGTTAGAATATTTTATTCTCTTTCAGATAATACCTATATAGGGTCATTTACATAATTAATAATTTTTATACTTGCTGAAATGTAGAGTTAATCACCTCGACAAATTATGAACTTTGAGCAGTATCTGCGCAGTGAAACATGTGAGAACACCCAAAGTACCACTGCTGGAGTGGTGTTAAGACAGTCACCAAACCCACGACGGCTTGGTGGCCTCAACTTCCAAAGTCAGGAGATATGGCCATTAGCAGCTTCGAAAACGAAGATAAGTGTTATCCAATTCCTTCCAGGTGAACGCATGTTTTCTAGGTACCATCTGATAGAGCTTTTTACGCTCTGTCTATCCATGTGCAGCTTGTCTCAGATTTTATCCATTTTCGGAAAATATAGGGCAAAACATAATTTTTTGATTCTTATTGCGCCAAAAATAGCTATTTTTCAGGTTTTTTCGCAATTTTTCCTGAAATTGAAAAGAAATTTTAGGCATTTAACATATTTTTTAAAAGAGCATGAAAAGCTCTTTCGAATGGTATGTCATTTGCTTTACGACTTTACGGTATAGCAGTGCAAGATTGAGAGTTGTTTAGAAAACCCTGTCAGAGTTCTTCACGACGCCACGCGTATGGTCATGAGAGAGAAGCGGTAACGCCTTGCCAGAATAATAGGCGAAGGTCGGTTATGTAAGCGACGTTTGAGTTGCAGTCTGCTTGTTATTGGTGAGGACAAAAAATCTTAAAATGTAATAAAAATCAAGCTGTCCCATTTTCTACCGTTCACCCTAATACTTAGCTTGGAAAGTACAATAGTGAATTCTCAGTATTCTACAAGGGTTAGTTTCCGAGAAATATCAGTTAGCTATTTCTCTTCTTTCTTTCAAATCAAATTCGATATTTCTCGCAAAAAGCATGATAATTTATGATTTTTCGGTGTCTAGCCAAAATTGATTATAGCAACTGCCCATATAAATGTTTGAGGTATATGTTCTGAGCAAGTCAAGGGTCCGTGAAAATTATTGGGCAGAGGTACGAATTTTTGATTTTCGGTCATTCAAAACCTTTACATTCCATCCTCGAACTCCACGTGACAGCTTCACATGACTTTGTGCAAAAGCATAACTATCGAATGGTACCCCACAAAGTTTTCAAGCTTTGCCTTGTTGCGATGCCACGACAAAGAAGTAAAAACACTCAACACTTTTTTTCAACCTAATATAAAAAGTTTAGGATGGAGACACGGAACATGGAACTATTTTGTCAGAAAGGATATCTGAAGTTGAAGATTTCAAATAGCCTCAAATCACTTGATAAGCATGTTTGTTTATATCTGCTTTTGGCTCGATATTGGGTCAGAGCATAATAGGTTTAGAAAGTCATTATTTAAATGATCTTAAAATTCATCTACTCGCAGATTTTATTTAACATTACGTCTACAGAAAAGCTTGGAAGGCTAAAAGAGTAATTTCTGAAAGTGTTCTACGTAAGTTATAAAATTGTGCGAATTACTCCTTACTTTAATTCTTACTACTTACAAATACATTACATACTACTCCCTCTCTCATAGTCAGCTTCCCAGGTTATTAAGAATTTCGTAAATCTTTTCAAAGTACTAATCCAAAACGTTTGTGTGCCAACTGCTGATAGATTCAATCAAAATTTGTGTATTATAAGAAAAGCCCCATAAGCTAAGTAAAAAAAAGCATGCAAGCACACCCCGTATCAAAATTTATTGGTAGTTAGCACTAGCAATTTTAGAAAAGTTTGGCTCAGCCAAGTCGTGTGAAGATGGTCATAGATAGCGCCCTTTTGGTAGGAGAGCAGTTTTTTTTCTAGTCCAAAAGATTGCTATCGCATTATTCATGTTTACACTCTGCAAACCAACTTTTGTGACATAGGTAGAGGTTTGCTGCAAGGAGGTAAAAACAAAACTGCCTTTGCATGCAGAGCTTTCAGAACCCAAAATGGTGAGGAAGTAGTTTCAAATGAACCTTGCTTTGGACAAAAACTCAAGGATGTACAAATTTCTTTGAATGTGACATTTTCAAATCTCTTGGTATTTTACCTTGGCCACCTCTCCCTTCTTTGGTACGTCTGCAACTGCCTGAAAAATTGATTTTTTTTCTGTAATTTAATCTTGAAACACCAAATAATAATTCATATGCCCCACCTGAGAATGTACTCGATGTCGAGCCGTTGGCGTATTCTAAAAAGCAGATAAAAAGTGAAAATAAAAAAAGTTCATGCTTACCGCTCTTAACGCTTTTACACTTGGTGATGGTTCAGCGTTTCTGAGCTCATCAGGAAGTTTTATAGGCCCATCATTCTTAGCGAATTTTGCTTCAAATTTTGGAAGTTCAACAACACTAAAAAGAAGCACTAAAGCTTACGTCTGCGTCTTCTTCCAGCTGCATCGATATAATACCAGTATAAGGCAATCGAAGCCGCACCCAAACCGAGGATCAATATTACAGCAAGGCTGTAATCTCCAGCAGTATTTGCGCTATAATACCCCAAAAATAAAACTGCGCAAAGCTTTGCTTTGGTTATTAGTGATCATATTTTTAAAAGATCTGCTCAAAGAACCAAAGGGGCCCTCAAAAATGGCATACCTACGTTACTGGCTACCTCGATGTTACGAGTGGCAAGTGTCTCCTCTTTCGAAAAGCTCAATTACTTGAGCAGCTCTTCCATTTTAGAGGGAATCTATGCTTTCTTTCCAGTGGACTGCTCACAAACTGACTACTACAAGCTTTTTAGCCCATTCGCTTTTGTACGTAAGCAGCTTCAAGTACGCGAAATGCCCATGACAAACGAACGACAAAGCCTTTAACCCTTTCGGACCTGAGTTTTTCCGAGTAAGCAAAGATCCTCACTCCCAGTGTTTTTCACTGCTACCACATGAATAAAATTACAGCGGAGTTTGGAGTGTTATAATATATATATACTATTTCTTTTTGATTTTTAAATTTTTTGGTTTTGCGTTTATTTTGGATCAAATCTCTCTCAGCACATGTGGACCCGCGAGCAGATTGCACTTGCTCAACATTGTACTCAAACATTTTGGTAATAGTATTGTTGGAGAGTAACATTTGTTGTTCTGTTTTGTGTTGTTGTCTTGTGATCTCTAGGATTTATTGGTATAATTGACCTATGCGCGGGATCTGAGCGCTATATGAGGCGCTCTTTGCTAGCTAAGTCATTCGTTCGTTCGTCTGTCTTATCTTCTGCTTATTCAAATCCGGTCTACTAATAAATCTACTATTCTACAAGTGTCTCGGACCCCCCCACAAGTACAAGTACAAGTAGAAGACTACAACAAGTGGCGATCAGTACTGGACGATACGCGTGCTGTGGATAAGGAACAAGCTGAACATGTACTTCTTCGGGAAGGATGGCGACAGTGTCAAGCAAATCATTGGAGCAAGTGCTCGCACAGCTGGTGCAGCCTATAACTGCACTCATTCAGGCGAACCAGGAGCAGTCTGCTGCTCTTTTGAAGGCAGACCAGAAGCAGTCCGAGCGTATAGCACAGATATTACAACGAATGGACCACTCAGTCGCTCCTACGATGGCGGACTACTCAGCACTTTCGTCGCGATTGCCAGGCTTCAGCTACGATCCAGACAGCGGTTGCACCTTCGAGAGCTGGCTATCACGGTTCGAAGAAATTGTTCCAGATCGATGCCAGAGAAGGACCGCTGTACCCTCCTGTCCGCGAAGCTGGATAACGCCGCACGCGCCAAGCTGAGAGGGCACCTGGCGCCGAAATCACCACTAGAGCTTTCGTTCGAAGAGCTGACAAAAGTGCTGACGTCGCTTTCTGGTGAAAAGACGGCGCTCTTTCGACGTCGATGGAACTGTCTCCACATCGTAAAGGACTCTTCAGAAGACGTTGAATCGTACGCTGCTCGACTCAACAGAATGCTGGCCGATGCCAAAGCAGACGAAATGAAAGGTGAACAACTGAAATGCCTGCTTTTCGTCATGGGATTGCAATCGGCATGCAATATGCCAATTCATGCTCGACTACTGAGCAAGATGGACGCCGAGATTGATACTTACAAGCTGCAGGACTGATTGCCGACTACAACGCCTATCAGTCCGTGCAGAAGGATGCTGCCCTCATTGGATCTGCACCGGCGCCCGTCCAAGCTGAAGTCGTCGCTCCTATCCGGAAGAAGAAGCAGCGTCGACCACCGCCGCAACGTATTAGACGCTCATCTGATAGCAAGAGTCCGCCTGGAAGTTCCCGCCGTGACGACGTGTGCTACACTTTTGGGAACAAAGGACACTGGGCCAGCAACTGCCCGTCAAGGAACCGACCAGTCCGCCCCATGATGAAAGTTGTAAAGCTGAACGTGCTGAACTCCCACCGTCGATACGTAAATGTGAAGCTGAAGGACGTGGATGTGAAGATGCAACTCGACACCGGTGCCGACGTATCGACAATCAGTCGCAGGACGTGGATAGAGTTAGGATCGCCGACCTTGGAGGCCCCGCGGAATTGAGAGCTGCAAATGGATCGTTGATCGAAGTATTTGGAGTTCATGAGATGCCGTTCACATGCAATGGTTTTGATGGCCAAGGATTATTTTACGTCACCAAGGACCTATGTTTGCTAGGAATGGACATGCTGCAACAGCTGCCGCCCTTTCGAGATGCCCTTTCCTGTTTGCTGTGTTTTGGATGCCTCTTTGCCACTGGACGACCGCCTCGCGGCTGAGTTCCCAGAAGTTTTCAAAGAGGAGCTGGGACACGTTAACAAGTTCAAGGCTCACCTGGTGCTGAAGAAGGATGCCACACCCGTCTACGTGCCGAAGCGGAAGGTACCTTTTGCCGTAGAACCTCTCGTCAACGCAGAGTTAGACCGCCTCGTCGCTACTGGAGTGCTGTCACGCGTCGACTACTCTCAGTGGGCTGCTCCCACCGCTCCCGTCAAGAAGAAGAATGGAGCAGTGCGCATTTGTGCCGACTTCTCCACCGGACTGAACGACGCATTGGAGCTGCACAGGCACCCGCTGCCCACTGCTAGGACGTCTTCACCAAGTTAAATGGAGGAACCGTTTTCACGAATATCGGCCTGCGTGACGCGTACTTGCAAGTAGAAATGGACAACGAGAGCAAAGAATTGCTGACCATCAACACATACCGTGGACTCTTCCGCTACAACCGTCTACCGTTTGGGGTGAAGAGTGCCCCTGGGATCTTCCGGTCGTTAATGAGCAACATCACCGCTGACATCAGTGGAGCCGTTGCTTATCTAGACGATGTTGTGGTCACCGGAAGGACTCGTGAGGAGCACGATGCGAACGTCTTTAAGCTATTCCAACATCTTCAAGACTATGGAATGTGTGTGCGCCGTGAAAAGTGTCATTTTGCTAAATTTAGCATAGTATTTCTCGGATTTATTGTCGACGCTGAAGGAAGACGCCCCGACCCCAAGAGGATTGCCGCCATCGCCCATATGCCGCCACCCCAAGATGTGAAGCAGATTGAATCTTACCATGGGATGGTTTCATTTTACTTGCTTTTTGTGCCAAGGATGCATTCACTTTACGGACCGTTGGACGCCTTGAAGAAGAAAGACACACCGTTTGTCTAGAGTAAAGAGTGCCAGAAAGCCTTCGACCGCCTTCGCGAAGTCTTGTCCTCAGATCTTCTGCTGTGCCACTACAACCCTAAGAAGCCGATCATTGTTGCCGCTGACGCAAGCAACTATGGAATCGGAGCCGTGATTTCTCACCGCTACCCGGACGGATCGGAGAAGGTCGTTTGTCATGCGAGCCGCGCATTGACGGCCACAGAGGAGAACTACTCGCAGATTGAGAAGGAGGGATTGGCCGTAGTTTTGCCGTTAAGAAGTTCCACCGTTACATTTATGGACGAAGATTTACACTGCTCACGGACCACCGCCCTCTACTCACCATATTCGGGAGCAAGAAAGGAATACCGGCCTACACTGCCAATCGTCTACAACGATGGTCTATGACAACTTGCCTATGATTTCGACATCAAGTACTGCTCTACGACATCGTTTGGACAAGCGGATGCTCTCTCCCGATCGCTTTTCTGCCGGAGTGCGCCGGACGAAGACGCATCATTGCTACTGTAGAAGCTGATGTCACCGCTACTTACGAGGAAGCACTAAACCAACTGCCAGTTACAGTGGAAGACGTACGTTCTGCTATGGAAAACGACGCCATGCTGATGGAGCTGCTCAAGTGTCTCCAAACAGGACGTTGGCCAAATGCACTTCCAGGAACGCCGTTGTTTAACTGCAGGAGCCAACAAAAGGAGCTCTCTGTTCACAACGGATGCATTTTCTTTGGATCCAGGTTCGTCATACCAGCTTCACTGAGAAGAAGATTCTCCGCATGCTGCACGATGGACACCTTGAACAAACACGAATGAAACTGCTCACTCGTAACTACGTCTACTGGCCTGGTATAGAAGAAGACGTAAAGACTGTGGAACGCTGCCAGAATTGCCAGCTTGCCGCTAAGAATCCAGTAAAAGCTGAATTAACTCCATGGCCCATCACAAGTCGCCCAATGGAACGCCTGCATATTGATTTCGCAGGACCTCTATGGACATATGTACCTCGTTATCGTGGATGCGTATTCCCGCTGGCCTGAAATCGTGGAGATGCAGTCGACTACGTCACAAGCGACCACGCAGGAACTTATGAAGATCTTCAGCCAATTCGGATTCCCAGAAACGCTTGTTTTGGACAAATGCACCCAATTCTCTTCCCAGTACTTCGAGAATTTCTGCAGGAAGTACAGGATCAAGCATGTTCGGACGCCGCCATTCCACCCACAGTCAAATGGGCTCGCTGAACGCTTTGTCGGAATTTTCAAAAGGGGACTCCTGAAGCTGAAAGAAGATGGAAACCTTCCGGAAGCATTGTCGAAGCTACTACTTTGCTATCGCTGTACGCCCTGCCCGTCTTCGCCTGAAAATCGTTTGCCTGCAGAGATGTTTCTTGGACGAACGATTAGTACTCTACTCACACGTTTGGTCACTGATGCTCGAACTTTCACACCAACCCACTCCCCAGATCGAAACCGGCGATGGAAGCAATGTACAACCGCCGACATGGAGCCAAGAAAAGGAAATTCGAAGTCTACGATGCCGTCTACTTGCGACTACCGTAATCCATCGAGGCCTACTTGGACTCCAGGACGTGTGCAATCAAGGATTGGACGCCCAACTCTACAACGTGGAAGTCGAAGGATTCTTATGGGGACGCCATGCCAACCAAGTACGCCATCGCAGAATCCCCGACGCCACTACCACGATGTTAAGAGCGTTCAACCTTCTAGATTTTGAACTCCATAGACCGTCGCCTGCCGATTCTGCTGATGTGCTCGCTTCCCAAGACGCCAGTCTCGATGATGAAGCACCAACTCCCGATATCTCAGCTGCTAGTGCCGAATCCGTAGATACTGATGTCTCCGCCACTCAACGATCTCTACAGCTTCGCCGCCGGCCGCAAAG